AATTTACTTACTAGAATTATTATTTTTATTTTTTTAAATTTACTTATTTTTTCATATTCATGATCCCCATGTTAGAGATTACATGAATTTAAAAATTAGGTCTTAAAATCCATCTCAAAAATAGATTGATTTAGGGGCCCGCATTTCTACATATGTTGAGCTTGGCAGCATAGAAACCGGATCCTATGCATCAAATGTATTTTATATGTAAAAATAACCACATTAAGGAACTATTTTTTGACACAACGGATCTAATTGTTCAGAAACTCAAAATCTAAATTTTCTTTCTTTTTGTAAATACGTCTGAAGATCTAAATTGGATCCCAACATTTTGTATCAAGAAAGCATCTTAAATAGGTTTATTACACGAAGGAGTATGTATATAGCCTGCTCATGCATGTCCACGGTGCTAGTGCTTCATGGAGAGAGAATGGGTGATTAGTGTTAAACTAGTCGAATTGACATGAGAACTAACTTGGGTGCACGCATTCATGAGAGAACCAACTTGGCGGTCCATCAATAACCCTAATTGATGAATGCTGTAAGTGAATAGGTACTGTTTTATCCTACGTGGCGCATGTGGTGCTGATGTGTACACTGGGCATAAAAAAATGCAATAGTAAATTTCGTAGGCAGATTTCAGGATGAGTATTTAATTATGTTTCATGTTCCAATGAAAAAGGTCGAAGCATCACGGGAGGTGAGAATCCGCTTATTAAAAATAAAAACGCATAAATAATATAAGAGATTGTATATTAGAGACCATTTATTTTTAGCGTAAGAAAGTCACAATTATTTTTTATCTTTGGATATGAAATCCAATATATAAATGTGTGTTGTAATATTTGAGAATTTTATTTTGGACTTTGTTCTCAAACAATAAAATATTCTCAGTCACCTAATTTTAAATCTTATGATCAATAATAATTATGACCTCTTTATATCAAAAATAAATGATCTCATTGTAAATATTTCTAAAATATAATATGTGAGAACTAGGTGATCCGGCACCCGTGCCTTCTTATACTACATAAGGCACCCCTCTAAAATTTGCATAGAGATGTTCCAATTTTGAAAACTTCATAATGGCTTGAAAATCTATTTTGATCCCTAACTATAAAATTTAAAATTTTAAAATAGTACAGATCGAGCATATCAAGAAACACTTGAAAATATTTAAAGCAGACCATTCAAATAACTTATTGTTAGAAGATGCACTATATTTGGACTTATAATTCTTTTTTCTTTTATATTCATACATTTCAAGGTCGAGATGGCCTGGACGGTTCTCGAACGCCATAACACTCTCTTCTGTAGAATATTTGAGGTCTACCTTACTTCAATAATATAAACTTGAAAACCTTATATAAACTTTAGGGCTCAAGTTTTAAACGACAAGCATGACCAAGGGGTAGCATTTAAGTAGTCTAGACTCTAGAGACTGAGAGCAGTACAAAAAACACTAGAACTCCATGTTTTCCAAAGCATTCATCTCATGTAGCTACCACTCAAATGGTTTTGAGAAGAAAGAGAGAGTAGATAAATATTTTAAATTCAAGAAGAGAGAGAAGGGATGATGTGCATGTAGAAGTACATGGGCATTAGATGCTTTTAGGACAAGTGGGTGGTCCTCCATTCCTTATGTTGAGTCCTATTCCAGTTCCATCTTATTTCACCTTTGGTCAGTGTTTTGACCAGTAGCCGTAGAAGACCTCTTCATGTGCCAATTCAATTCTTTCACAGATGTCATCTATCTCTCTCTGTCTCTAGAATTTGTCTCTCTCTCTCTAGAATTTGTGTCTTTCTTCTCTTTCCCTCTCGGGATTATCGGTCTATTTATTTTTTGTACATAAAAATTACAATCATTCTTGTCTCTTAAATTTTAAAATAGGTGGTGGTAAGAGTGTCATTGAATAGATTAATAGGTGGTGGTAAGAGTGTCATTGAATAGAAAAAAATCCAATTTTTTTTTTTGTAGTCTATGACTCACCTCAAACCATCCAATTTGATATCTAATGAGTGATAATCAATATGAACTCCATGTACTGATCTACCTACGGATCATAAAATTTTAGGTAAAATACTAAATGCTCAACTTATAGGCAGAAATTATAAAGAAGGTTGGTCAACCTGTATTTTTTATCTTTTTCAAAATTATCCCTTGGTCAACTCAAATTTTACTTTTAATTTTTTTAGTTTTTTTAATCTTTTCTTTAGTAGAACATTGCCTTAAAGCTAGGGGCACTACCTTACTAACAAAAAAACTAAAAAAAAATCAAATTTGAAGTTGACCAAGAAGTAATTTTGAAAAAAAATAAAAAACATGGGATGACAGACATTCATTGTAATTTCCGCCTATAAGCCGAGAATTTTGTATAAGGTGTGGTTTTTATAAGGTTGCAACTTTAAACAATCCAATTAAAGTGAACCTTCAAATTTTATCATAAGATGTAATTTTGATATAAAAAATTCTTAGGATTATCTCAAAATCTATTTTCATACCTAATTATAAATTTTTGAACTCCACAAATGGTTAAAATCAAGTAGATCGGTAAACATATGAAAATCTTAAAAATGGACAGTCTAGATAATGTGTTGTAAGATGCACTAGACTCAAAATCTTATCTTTTTTTTTTCATATTCATACATCTCAATATCTATGGATATCGAGGAGATAAATTAGAGGGTTTTTCAACATTAAATAACTTTTTTTTAATGAATTTTTGAAATGCATCTTTAATTTTACATTTTAAAGTTACGAACTTATATAAACTTTTTCCTTTTTAAAATCCGTAAATAAATCCCTAAAAAATAAATGGTTACACAACCTTTTTTCTCTCTCCTCTTTGTTTCATTATTTCCCTGTGTTGGTGACGCACTGGACGTCACTAATCGCCGTCGCTTTCCGATCCTACGTGGTACCAACCTGCAAACTGGTACAACAGCAGTTACGCCTTTTGTGTTTATCCGCTTTTATAACTCCACCCACACAAAACCATCATCTTCCCTCTAGCCTCCTTTTTCAGCTCGGCTCTTACCCTAATTTCTCATTTATGCACCACCCAATGCAACCTTTTGCTTTCAAAGTAGATATAGGATCACTTTCATTTCAATTAAGATACCAACCCTTTCCTGAATTCTTCTTGGCATTTAAACTAGAGAAAGGATCACTTTCGATTAAGATAGTAACCCTTTTGTGAAATTTTTTTTTTTTTTTGCACTTTTTTAGAAGCATTACTAAAGTTTTATTCATCAAAAGTAGTCTTGTACATCATTAAATTTTTGAGTGATTTACGTATAGATCTTTAAAAAAATTCTAAAATACAAAATGCTCCGGTGGAAATTATAAAGAAGATCGGCCAAACCCTCTTTTTTCATTATTTTCAAGATTGCCCCTTCATCTTAGGATGGCATCCTGGATTCGAATTTTAATTTTTTTTTTTTTAGTTTTTCATTAGTAGGGCACCAAAAAAAAATTTAAAGTTAGTCCGAGGATGTCCTCAAATTGAGGGATAATATTGGACAAAATAAAAAAAATAAAAACATAAATTGACTGACCTTCTTTGTAATTTGTACGTATAAATGGAGCATTTTGTATTTTAAATTTTTTTTTAAGGTCTGTATGTAAATCACTCTAAATTTCGTTTTCTTTTTCTTTTTTTGTTTTGGCTTTTGAAGAAGACCAAGTAATTACTTTAGTTGATAGATCCTCTTTGCAAGTTGATTCCTTTGTAAGTGGATGCCTGTGCTATTTGCTCTATCTCATAAATAATAAGATATTATTCCATTATGATGATGTTCCTAAGCTTCTACTTAGATCATGAAAAGGCAATTAATAGGAAACATGAATGATAAAAGACCATGTTTTATGCTGACATATTAATTTCAGTTTCAGCGATGAATATATTGAGCACCTCAATACCCTCTTCCCCTCCTCTTTATTGGCTAACTACCAAGCTGGCTTTTAGCCTGTACACCATGGTCCGGTGGGAGTAAAGAGTTATACGCTTTGAAATTATTATTTTTAAAATAGTTAAGCAGTAGGAATTAAACTTAAGAACTAACGACTCAACCCCAAGAGCGATTCCTTCCGAAGATTTATTTCATAGTTGATTTTGAGATCCCATTATTGCTAAATAAGTAATTTTGGAATAGAAAGAAAATGAGAACCTAAATGCTTAGATCCTGACCACCCGAAAATCGGATGGCTTGCATGCATTATAGGGCATAATTTCTTTCATGAACATCTAGGGTTCCTCTTATTTTATTATTTATAAATAGTTAGTAGGTCGCTAGGTTGAGAAAGAGTAGGTTTCACGGTTTTTCCTAAGAGACCAAATGCACTCTTTGCTTCTGGGCAGCATGTTGTCTATTCATTTCTTTTGCTTATTACTTTCATTTACTGCCGAACACAGCTAGCTCCAAGGCATTTATGAAATTTTCAGCGAATTCTATGGTAGAGCGAGACCTTGAGGAGCCTTTCTATTGTCACTTTATAAAGGTAAGGTTTGTATAAGGCACTAGAAGATGTAGTTCCGGTATCGGCAAGCTTACAATAGGAAATGTTTCGTTTATAGGTAGAAATTGTAAACAAGGTCAGTCAATTTTTTTTTTTTTTCCAAAATTACTTTTCGGTCTGAAGATAGAATACTTGATCCGAATTTAAAAAAAAACAAAAACAAAAAAATTAGGTTTTTTGTTAATAGGGAAGTACCCCAAGCTTTTAGGGTAGTGCCCTACTAATAAAAAAACTAAAAAAAATTAAAATTAAGTTTGAGGATGTCCACGGACCTAAAGGTAATTTTGAAAAAAAAAATTGATTGACCGAATTTCTTTGTAATTTCCACCTATAAATGGAGCATTTTGTATTTTCCAAAAAAAATGTTAAAATCAGTACATAAATCCCTCTAAATTTTAAAAATAATGTAGAACAAGCCACTCTACAAACACTAGAAAATATTTAAAATAGATTATCCAAAATAATTTATTACAAGATTTATTATTTTTAAAACTTAAAAACCATTTTTTCTATATATCTATATTGAGAGGTCGAGATGCTCAATCACAAGGTTTCTGAACTTTAGAACACCCTTTTCTACTAAATTTTGGGAGTACACCTTCCTTTTATAGTATAAAGTTGCCATTTCTCTAACGGTTTCAAAGGTGCGCCGAAGGCATGAGCCAGCAACGTCATACTTGTTAGTTTGCCTCTGTAAAGTCGCATGCTGTTTGATTACTCGTTTATCTCATCTTCATTAAATAAGGACCCGGTTTTTCATGCGGCCAAGCCCGCGTAGGTGGAACTGGACCCTCTTAACAAATTGTTTTTAGGTGGATTTTCAGATTTAATTTTTATAAATATAAAAAAATAAATAAATTTTAAAAATTAAAAATAACAATTCTAGTAAAAAAAACGTTTGAACCGTTAATTTTTCATTATTTTTAGATAGAACACCTCTTTGCATCCATCTATAATGTGATCTATAATTTTCATTATTTTTAGATAGAACACCTCTTTGCATCCATCTATAATGTGATCTATAATGTGGATGCTTTACACTTTTTGTACCGCATATGTAGAAATGCAGTTCAGCCCGCGTGGAACAATTTTCCTTAAATAATATCTAAAAAATTGAAATAAGACTATAAGTTACCGACCCGTTACCATGATAAAAGGCCATTCTCTCCTGTCCCTTTCACTTGCACCCCCTAAACTCTGTGATATTAGAGAGAGAGAATGGCCGGATTCTTATGCAGGACTCCGGCATCAACATCCATTTGTATGGCTTCGGATCACCGGAGAGTTTTAGAGCCTGAAAAATCGGCAAAGCTTTTAGATGTCAAGTATTCACGCCTAGTTGAGTCCAAAAGGTTCTCGTCGATTCCGTCGAAGACTCCTCCTCCAAAGAATGAGGGGCTTAGGCGCGTGAAATCAGAGAGAAGTGATAGGAAGATGCCGGAAAAGATTTTACGGCTGCCTCAACCGTCAGACTCCAAAAGGGTTTTTCAGGTCTGTGAAATTGTAGTGATAAGAGTGAGAAATGGTTCGAGATTTGTGCTTTTTGGTCTGTTCCATACCGGTATTTTCATGTAAAGAGGCATGTAATATGTTAAACGTTTCTTTTTACTGTGAGAATTTGAGAAATGGACTTGGTTTGAGCAGGTGGTGGTGATGAGGGTGTCTCTTCACTGTAGAGGATGTGCGGGTAAAGTGAAGAAGCATATCTCCAAAATGGAAGGTGATGTCATTTTTCATGGAATTTGCTGGGTTTTTTCGGTTGGTGTGAAATTCCTAAGTGTTTTTTATGGGAATGGAATTTTTTGGTTTTTTTTTGTTTTTTATTTCATTGGAAGCTCGAATGGTGATCTCTCTCTTTCTCTCGCTCTCTAATATGCACAGCATAACTCGACAAACACATTGGTTTCTCCTGTCGTCTCTCTCTCTCTCTCTCTCTCTCACACACACACACACACACATTGTTTCTTCTCATTTGTGATATTACATGACTCTCTCTCTCTCTCTCTACAGGGGTAACATCGTTCAGCATAGACTTGGAGACAAAGAGAGTAACGGTGATGGGCCATATCTCCCCCCTTGGAGTTTTGGAGAGCGTTTCAAAGGTCAAAAGGGCAGAATTGTGGTCCGCTGCTGCTACTGTTTGATGAAGTACCATAAAAAGTAAATGGGTAATGGGTTCCAGTCAAAATTTGCAGGGTAGTAGGAGAGAGAATTAGGTAGGTTTTTCTCTTTTAATGGCCTGGAAATTGAAGGTATCAGACTGTTCATGTTGCAGTCCCAACCTTCATTGACTCTCAGTTTTCTTTCCCTCTGTTATTGGTCATTATTTGAAATTTGATTTCAAAACTTAGTTGCTATGTTAGGGTTGTTAGAGACAGAAAGTGCATGAGGACTGGCATCTGTTTTATGGTATATATTTGGGTAATCGCATGGTTTCTTGTGAAGCGAGAGTTTATTTCCTTAAATGCCAAGGATTTTACAAAGGTGGTTTGTGTTGAGACCGTACGCCCCATTGTGGCATTTCATGTCAAACGTTATTATTATTATTTTTAGGAAAAAGTTCATATAGAGCCGAGGCTCTAAATAATCAAATTAGAGCCCACCTAAAAAATTTCACCTTGTTTTGATGCCCAAGTATCCTCAAATTGAACATCTTATAATCAAAATACATAGACATGACAAAAAAATTAGATTTTAAGTTTTGAAAATAGTACATTTTGTAACACATTTTTTACCGTCAATTTTCAAGATTTTTAAGTTCACGTAGATCTTCTCAATCTACAACGTTTTTTTATAATTAAAGATAAAAATATATCTTAAGGCTATCACAAAGATTTCCAGTATTTAAACCCTATCTCTCGACATTATTTGAAGGTGCGCTTTTGGGAATATTTATAAAGTGGATTTCAAAATTTGGGATTGAAAAGAGCATCCGAAGTTGGTTTACATGAGACACTAAATGTATAGTATGCACCCCACGAAGTACCTATATACTTTCAATGTAATATATTGAGAAAGGAACGTATTTATTTGGCCCTCCAAGTCAATAAAAAGGTAATTGGACGTAGGGCTGAGAATTTACCCTATATGGCTGGATCCAGGTATGGATCCGGATCTGACCGGTCGGATCTAGATATAAAATTTGAAAGCAAATCAAAATTTAGATCGGATCCAGATACATTACTAAAATATTATATATTATTTTATATAAACATATGTGTTATCTAGTATTTATTTTGTTATATATTTTTTATAGATATAAATTAATATATAAAATAACTTTTTTGGATCAGATTAGGTCCAAATCTAGATCAAAATCCCATGTATAATTTCATATCCAGATCTACATCTTTTCAGGTCCAGATCTAGATCTCATGTATACTTTTCAAATATGAATCTGGATCTCAAGGGATCCCAACCTGATCTAACCCATTTTCTGTCCTAATTTGATGTGTGTTACTTGTGAAAGTAATTTTATGGAAGCATTTTCATATGAATGAACTCCCCATGTAATTAAATGGGAGAATTTTTGCATCAATCGACTGCCAATTGGCGTAAAAAACGAGGTGTGAAAACTCTCCCGCACTTAATCATGTGAGTAAGTTCTTTCATGTGAACATACCAAACTTGAGTAGAATAAAAGAATAGAGTTCAATTGTTAAATTGTTTTAAGATTCCTAAAGAATAAAATAATAGAATTCAATTGTTAAATTGTTTTAAGATTCCTTTTCCAAACCATTCAATTCTTTTTTTTGGCAAAATATGACCTTATTTTTAAGTTTCATTTCTCCATAGATTCAAAGTTTCAAAATTTATCTTGCAGTATAGAGATTTTATCTATAATATCTTTTAAACCCCTGAAACAATTTTATCTATTTTTAATTCATCTTTTTAGCCCAAATTTTTTTTAAAATGACATCCTTTTCTACCGTCTAAGCCCCTGCTATCTCTCCTCACGTGTCTCTCTCTCCTTAATAAATCTTCAAACCGGTCTCTCTCCGTACTTCCCCAACTTTCTCTCTCTCAATCCCCATGTCTCTCCCTCTCTCTCCTCATGTGTCTCTCTCTCCTTAATAAATCTCGAAACCGCTCTCTCTCTCTCCGTACTTTTTCTCTCTAAATCCCCGTGTCTCTCCCTCTTTCCTCCGTGCTTACCCAAATTCTTCTCTGTCTTTGAAGATGAATGTCTATCCTTGTGTTTTTCCCTCTCTCTCTCCATGCTTACCCAAATTTTTTTCTCTCTTTGAAAATAAAAGTCCATCATTGTGTCTCTCCCCCTCTCTCTCTCCCTCGGGCTTACCTAAATCTTTCTCTCTTTGAAGATAAAAGTCTTCTCTCAATATGCTTACCCAAATCCATCTCTCTCGGTATGAAGATAAAGGTTTTTGCAAAGAGAGATGCGAGACTATTGTCTGCTCTTTACAGGCAGTGTCCATCATTGATGAGGAACAGAGAGACTGTCCATCATTGATGAGGAACAGAGAGACTATTGTATGCTCTTTACAAGCAGTATCCATCGTTGATGAGGAGCAGAGAGGAGAGTTAGAGGAAAAAAAGAGAACCTGGAGTGTAATAGCAATAAAAAAGAAAAGAAAAAAGCCTTGCTCCCCAAGAGTTGGGAGAGGTACAAGAGAGAGAGGTTTGGATATTCACAAGGAGAGAGAGAAAGGTGGGAGAAGTACATGAGAGAGAAAGAGGTTTGGAGATTCATGGGGGTTGAGAGAAGGAGAAACGCGTGGAGAGAGAGAGAGGGGGTTTAGAAAGAGAAATGCGTCAAGGGAGACAAAGGGTATAGAAAGGACATTTTGTAATTTGTTTGGACAAAAAAGATAGGTAAAAATGAAAAAATTGGTCTAGGGGACTAGAAGATAGGTTTTAAAACCTTTGGTCTAAAAAAAATGAAACCCAAAAATAGGATACATGGATATATTTTCGGGGAAAGGTTTCTATACTTCTCGTACAACATAGAAGATCTATGCTTCCGCTACCATCCAGCCGTCCAATTTTGATCAAGAGAGTCATTCACCGTTTGATCTTAGATCCGACGTCTCAAAGTATTTTATTTTTAATTTTTTTATACAAATTGTATGAATATGAAATTTGATACTTGCCATCTTCTCATTGGTGCGCACTTTTAAAAAAATTTAAAAATAATTTTTCAATAAAATATAATGATTAAAATATCCCTTGAAACTTTCAAGGGTATTTTGGCTATTTTATTTTATTGAAAATATTTTTTTATATTTTTTGTTAGTGAGAGTTTAATAGAGGATTGGACGTACAAAATTTGGTGTCAAAATAATTTATAGAAAAACTTAAAAATAAAATAGTGTAGAGACGTGACATTGTGATTGAGACAATCTTAGCCCCTTATTCAAAATAGACGGTTAGATAAAGAGAAGTATATAAGTTTTAAGTGGTAGGAAAAGCATAAAACTTGCTCATATTTTCCCTTGTTTTTTTGACTAAAAGAAAATTTGAAAGAAAACAAAAAGAGAAAAAACGAAGGGCTACAAGGTCAATCACAATAGTGAGAGAATTAATTGGGATATGACACGTGTCAGCTCCAAACTAGGGGCTAACTAGCTTATTGAGCCCAATAAATTCCAACGTCATAACAAAATCAAGTAAAAAGTAATTTCATGGAAGAGGGCGTAACTTTTCACATGTTCATGGGGGCATAAGTCGACTTCACAAAGTTTTACCAACACTAGGCAAGTTTGTATTCACATAAATGCCTCACAATCGGCTGGGCTTGCTGTCCTAGCCATAAAAAATTAGGGCTTAAGGCTACTAGATGTGGCTCGAATACTAGGTCAGGACCAGGCCACAATAACCCGATGGTCTAGTCAATTAGCCTTGGGACAAGCAACAACAAGCCTAGCCATACCGTTTTCTTGTTACAATTTTTTTTTTCTTCTCTTGGATTTTGGGCTAGGCTATTAAATGCATTAAAAATGAGGATCAAATGGTCGTAGTGAAGGATGATGAGGTCAACGAAAGGTAAAGAGTTTATTTTCAAAAACTTTTAAATAACGAACCCAATGGGAACATAGCCGTGGAAGGAACTGTTGGTATAAATAATGGCGGAGGTTAAAGATATATTCATAGAATTAGGATGTCAGAAGTGAAAGAAGCTTTGAAAAAGATGAAGATAAAAAAGGCTTTAGGACCCGATAGTATCCTCATAGAGGTTTGGAAGTACATGGGAGAGATTGACGTTGACTGGCTGACGAAGCTATTCAACAAGGTGCTGAGAACCAAAAAAATGACAGACGAATGCAGGAAACTTATCGTGGTACCTATTTATAAAAACAAATGAGACATACACAATTGTTCGAACTATCGAGGGATCAAGCTTATGAGTCATACTGCAAAGCTCTGGGAGAGAGTGATTGAGCAACGACTAAGACATACAACGAATGTATCTAAAAACCAATTTGATTTTATACCAAGAAGATCAACAATCGTTGTTATTTTCCTACATAGACAACTGATTGAGAAGCTTAGGGCAAAGGGAAAAGACATCCTTATGGTCTTTATTGATCTAGATAAAGCTTACAATAGAGTACCAAGATATTTGATTTGGCGGGAATTAGAAAAAAATGAGTCTTCGAACACTACATCGATTTAGTGATAGATATATATAATAGAGCGCTAACTAGTGTACAAACAATTAGTGGAGAGACGAATTTTTGGTGATAATAAGTCTACTTCAAGGTTCATCATTGAGCCCGGACCTCTTCGTTTTAGTTATAGGCGACTTAACTAAGCACCTACAGGGTGAGGTACCATGGTACATATTGTTCACAAATGATATAGTTTTCATCGATGAGATGCAAAACAACGTGAACACAAAGTTAGAACTTTGGCGGGATGCTCTAGAAACCAAAGGTTTTAAAATTAACTGGACTAATTTAGAGTATATGGAATGCAAGTTTAATAATAATAGCAGAAGAGACGAAGAAGTAGTTAAGATTGTTGACCAAGATATCTTGAATCGATAATCCATGACAATTGAGATATTGAGGAAGATGTCACCACAGAATTAGAGCTGGGTGGGCGAAGTGGAGATATGCAATTGGAATTTTATGTGATCACCGCGTACCAACAAAGCTAAAAAGAAAGTTCTATAGGACAACTGTCAAACTAACTTTACTCTATTGCGTGACTGGTGGTTAGAATGACTAATATTGGAGAAAGTTTTTTTTGGGTAATTCATTGGGGAAGATAGGCCCCTACCCGTTTTTCCAAATAGTTTAGGAGTTGGCTTTTTTAAGGCATTAGCACTATAGTAGAGACTAAGGCAAGGCTGAGCCAAGATTGGCCTAGCCCAGGCCTCAACCTATTGCTATTTGGCTCTTGTGGTATTCGATAATTAAAGTTTAGTTATTTGTAAAATACTCCATAACAATTTTCATAGTGATCGGTGGTTAGAATGACCAATGTTAGAGCAACTTTTTGTTTGGGTAATTCAATAGGGAAGACATGCTCCTATTCACAGTCAAGTTTCTTTTGGATAATTCAGTAGATAAGACATACCTCGATTTATGTTTTCAAATAGTTTAAGGGTTAGTTTTTTAAAGGTATTAATCGCATGGTATCAGTGAGAATAAAAACCACAACTAGGTGTGGGCAAGTTAGAAGACTTAAATTGCTCATAATGAAAGTCCGCAACAAAAATTGATACGAGAAAACAATAAAACGAATTTTAAAATATCCAACCATTAATTGCCATAACTATGACATTCTAACCTTAATCTAATCAGTGAAAGCCCTAAACGGTGTGCTTTCCCTTTTAATGATGGACCATTCATCATCATCATATAAAGGCTGAATTCAACAAATTTAATTTTTTAAAAACATTTTATAGTTTTACATTGAGATTGCATTGCTTAACTTAGTAGAAACGGCAACTTGTTAACAATAAAATCAATCATGTACAATGTCCAATTCGAAGTTGTTGTTGATTATACATGTTCTACCACATTCAAACACAAACACACACACACGTATATAGAGCGTGTCACTACAAGCAAGTCTTTATCTACGTAAACACACTCATTTATTCATTTTAAATGCAAAATTGACAAATGGTGGTGGTGTATAATTGGCCGCGGTCAGGGTGGCATTTGACAACTTTTACTACAGTCCCTTGGGAAAAACCCATGTTATTGACCTTTCTAGATTATGGTAGGCACATGAAAATCAATAGCATGAAAGTTGAAAACCATATTTGATAAACCATGGTGCTATTTCACCTTTTTGGCATTTAAGAAGCCGAAAACTACCTTGTACAATTGTTCATTATGTATTTCATTGATATGACGCGCAAAATGCAGTTTTTGAATAATATTTTACAAATAAATAAATTTTTTTCAATCTATCCAATATAATAGTAAAGGGAAAAGTTTATATTAGGTTGCAACCTTATAATGTAGAATCATAGATCAGCTCAAAAATCTATCGGAAGTGTTGTTTTAACGTTGAAAAAAACCCTCTAATCGATCATCTCGATATCGACATGTATGAATATGAAAAAAAAAAGTATTTGAGCCCCGAAAATAGTGCATCTTGCAACATATTGTCTAGACTGCCATTTTCAAGATTTTTCATATATTTATAGATCTTCTTGATTTTAGCCATTTTTGAAATTTAAAATTTTCTAATTAGGTTTGAAAATAGATTTTAAGATAATACTATGAATTTTTTACAACAAAATTACATGGTATGATAAAATTTTAAGGTGTGCCTTAATTGGATTGTTTAGGGTTGCAACCTTATAGAAACTGTACCCAATACTAAATATGTAAATAGATTCAAGGAATACTTTAAAGTGCTTGGATATTTAATAAAAGTATCAAACCCCTCTGATGCTAACAACATTTACATAAATAAGAAAAAAATTTGAGTTTCTTACTATCAAAATTTCTCTCAATGCATTGGCAACCTCCAAGAGCAAAAATATTTCAGTTATTTAAGAAATAAATATTTAAAAGTTTTAAAGCTAACCATTTATTTGTCAAGACCGATGACGTTTTAATGGCACCTAAATTTACAATCATTTTAAACAGAAACCAAACAATTACAACTACGGCGGCATGTGACTTGGCAACTGGTTAGTAATTGAAGTGACTTGATCAAGTCACTGAAAATTGTTGCACTTGCCAAGTTCATGATGGATGCAATTACGTTCATGACCAAAAAAACCAGACTATATCTCGATATGAAATGGCAACTATACAATTTATTTTTAGTTGGGTAAGCAGCAACCAAAAGTCACATAAACTTAACTACCTATAATCATTTCACCGTTAAAAATATAAGAAAAAACTTTCATGTTACAACCAATAAATGTTTTTGTTTCTATTAGAAATTTTTAATTTATCTTGGATTAATTATTTAAAATATCTCTAAACAAAAAGTTACTATACTATAGGATAAAGGTATCTAAATGTCTAAAAATATTGAGTATTTTAAAGGTGCACACCACAAGTAGTGTAGCCTAACAAAACCCATTGTAAATTTGCGGAGGCTACAGTACTAAAGGATTCTTAGTTTGTTTAATTGATGCATAAGTGAAAAATCTGGAAGAACAAAAAAAGTAATTGGCAACAAAATGATGGAGCAAACTAAATCGCTACCATAACCACTGATGGAGAAGAGCACAAAATTTTATTAATTTACTTACACAACATATAGCATCAACCTAATCACTAGGATTGGATTATCAAGTACTGAAGACCCAACACTCAAAAGACCTCCAAATTTTTCACAGAAAAATTTTCACGGCACTCAAAAATAGCAAAAAAAATTCCACAACACGAGTTTAACTAGTTTAGAAAAACAGAGCAGCAAGGGAGAGGACGACCGATGGAGACCAAAAGGAGAGAGAGAGAGATAGAAATGAGTGTGTGATGCATAAACATAAAATACAAAATACAGTAGAATAATCATAAATAGTAGTCAAATAATGTCAATAGAACTCAAACGATTTACTCCATGTGTTGTTTTTAGTATTTTAAAACAAAACTATTTTGGATGCATATGGGATTAGTTAGGACTTAGGAGCCAACCACTTCCAGGATGATAAAGTTCCGCCCCAATTTTCCTTTTAAACCTCCTTTTTTTTTTTATTAAGGTTATTTGATACTTTCGTATATCTCTACTAAATCTCCACCCAATAAACTTGAATTTTAATTTTAATTTTATTTTATTAAATTTTTAATATTTAATGAATCATTTATTCGGACCAATCTACGATAGAAACCACATTTCTGACGGTCCGGAAGGCAGATGCTGGTGAAAAATCCGGCCCCCCCACCTATCCGAATCTGCGTCTTTCCATATCCGTTTCAAAGCGAAAAACTCGAAAGACATACGAAAGCTTAAAGCCAGGGAATAAGAAAAGTTTTGGTGGATTTTCGCTGTTGTTTCAGTGAAATTTCCTTCCCTCATTTTAGTCAAATTTCGGCAAGCATTTGATATTCGGTCGCCAAAAAGGAATAAGAAAGCTTTCGCCGCCATTCAGGGTCGAAACCAAAGTTTTCGCCGAAATTATATAACACCTACCCCTTGCGTCTCGCTCTCGCTCTCTCTCTGTCTCTCTCTCTCTGTCTCTTTGCACTTGGCTGGCAGCTACCAACCCTCAAACCTTCTCTCTACAACTATACTGCTGCTCTATATAACGGCATTTGTTGAAAGCCCACTTCAGATATCAAGGTCTGTTTTTGAAATCCAATATTTATAGCTCAAATAATCAATTCAATTATTGTTGGGCCCAATCATGGAGGGCCTCTGTTTCAGTTCCTCTTTCAAAATCACTTTGCAAAGTACCCTTTCCAACCAAGCATCAGAGTTGCACAATGGTATTCACAGTGTCTCTCTAAGGCAAGTTCCCACCCTTTTGTGTTCCTGGGTTTGTCTCAAATTCTTGATTATTTTTTTTTCTTTGCATTGGACTCAAGTTTTCTATTTCTTGGAGCTTTGCCCCTGCCTTGCTGGTATGAATGTTATGGTGCCTTTTTTGCCCTTTTCTATATGTAATGTTGTTAGAACAAGGATCTCTGGATGGTCTTTGGTATCAGCTCCTTCTACTTTATTATTTTTTTGTATTTAATGTTTCCTTGATGGGCTTATGATTTTTTAGCATTAAATATGTGTTGTGAGTTGCTTCCACATTCACTTTGGGCCTGATCCATCTTAATTGTTATGAGAAAATATAATTGAAAGAGTGACAGGGCATTGTTGTACCTGTTGATTGGATTGGTAATGGAGGCAATTCTCATAACTATTGGCAAATTCTGAATATAGTAGCCTGCATATTTGAATTGTGGATATGTAACATTTATTTTTTATTTCAGTTGAAGTTTCTTTTGTTAAATTGTTGCCTGAGTGAATATTTAGCTGGTTTGCTCTCTGGTTTACAGTTGAATAGTGGATTTGGCTGCTTTAGGTGGTATTATGTCATGGGCTGCAAAGAGTTCTGCAGTTGCTATAGTTTTGCATCAATAGATGAATCTTCATGATATTTCTTTTATTAAGAATCTTTGCAAGATGATTCTTGGTAATTTATCTACTTAATCGGAGTTATTTACTTAAAGGCATCTTTAGATTCCTAAGCTTAGATTGGTATGGAGCAAATGTTTGTGACCAATGTGAGGCTTTTGAAGTTTATTGATATCAATCATATCTATGGAAAGAAATTTTGAGATGCTTTTAATATGTGCATCAAAATGCCCATGAAAATGCTCATGTCCTGCTTCTATGCATAACATTTTTGCCTTGTGTTCTATAAATGTTTGCCAGAGCTTGGGAGAGAAGGAAACCCATACGATCACTTAAAACCAGAAGCACGATAAGGTCCGAAGCTTGTACTGGTTCAATGGATTTTGATACATCAGTGAGCCCAAGAGCTAATTCTATCAAACCATCAAAGACCATGGCCATAAGTGATCATGCCACTGCCCTGGTGCAAAAAGGGGTGCCAGTCATAAGATTAGCTGCTGGAGAACCTGACTTTGACACACCGACTGCAATAGCTGAGGTGCGGCATTGACCACAAGATAGTTTCTAATGTCCCATCATCCTTGATTCACCTTGGTGCTTGAAACAAATGATTTGTTCTTCATATTGTCGCAAATCTGGCTAGTTTCTATTTTCCTTATGCTTCTATGTTGAAATTGATTGTCTGAAACATATAGTTTTTTTTTTTTGAGAATATGTTTGAAAGATATAGTTTAATACTTTTTTTGTTACAAATCACACTAGTGTTTAGTTTCCAAATGCTTATTGGTGCTTGAAGGAATGGTTTAATGTTCATATTTAACAAAACAGTCTAGTTCTCATATTATTCCATATTTTTTCTTTGTTGAAAGTAGTACTTGATAACCTATGGTTTAATCTTATTACTATAACAAATCAGGCTGGCATAAGAGCCATTCAACAAGGATATACAAGGTACACCCCAAATGCTGGAACTTTGGAACTACGGACAGCAATATGCCATAAACTAAAGGGTTAGTTTATGATTTTCATGCATTTATATTTGATAAGTGTTTTATGAATGTTTAGTTATGAACTAGTTGTATGTTCTGGTGGATAAGTGTTTTATGAATGTCTAGTTATGAACTAGTTATATGTTCTGGTGGATTTTTTGTAAGTTACTGAGGTCTTGATGATTTGAATTCTTGTGTAGAGGAGAATGGGCTTTCATACACACCTGACCAGATTCTGGTTAGTAATGGGGCTAAGCAATGTATCTTGCAATCTGTTCTTGCTGTTTGCTCTCCTAGTGATGAGGTAAAGTAGTTCAAACTTATACCCTTGCATCATGAACTTTCATCTTCTGTGGTAGTTAGTGTACTACGCTGTGATAAGCTATTGCCCATTCTCCTAGCTTTTCCATGTTTATGGTTACTTTTTAGGGCAATTTTATATTCCTGATGACAATAGAGATTGATTTTTGTTTACTTATCAAAAAAAGGAGATTTTTTTTATGAAGAAAAAAACATTGAGCTTGGTTTTGAAGTACTAAATTTGTTAGTATTCAGCTTCAGGTTTGTATAAATATATCATTTTGGTAATTTAAGTACTGCTTTTGGTAATCATTTTATGCTGCTTAACTAAGAAACTATCTTCAGGGCAAAGCAGAATAATAGAGAGGCAAGGCGAGCTATGAGATTGCCATTTGTTTTTTTGATAATAGAATTGCCAATCATTTGCTTGGGCATTCAAATCCAACGTAACTTCTAATATTGTATAGCTTTTACAATTAGTCATGCATTACATACCGAAAAGAGCTACTGTTAAATGCAGTGTTCAAGGACTTTGTTGAGTCCACTCGGATTCGGCCCCTTGCCGAGCTGAATACTCGTGTAAAAATCGAGCTAATTTTTACAAAAAAAATCATAGAAATTATATTAAATTGTGTAATCAATGTATAAAATAATAATTTGGGTTTTTTACATTGATTTGTGAGTTTTTCTTATCATGTGCCCAATTCTTATATAATTTCATCTTTTTTTTGTATTTTCAACTTTAAATAAAAAATTTCTGATCCATGTTTTATATTTATTTTCAGCTTATGGGGGCGCTTTATGTTATTTTTTGTTTTGTTTGACTTTTATAATTGTTATTTTATTTTTAACAACTTTTTTGAATTTTTTCTGAATTTTTAGGGCTTTTTGGGCCCTGTACACTACTCGACCAAGTCCACTCAGCCTTACTTGGCTCAGGCTAGGGCTGAGTCCAGGGCCTGAGCTGAGATTACAAACATCAGTTAAATATTTGGACCAGTGACACAATTTTTTACATCAATATCTATTCAACTACGAACTAAAAGGGATCATTGATGGAATTTGGCAGTAACACTAAAAATGTTTGATATGCATATTCTAAGTACAAAATGTGCAAATCATGACTGCAGCATATTTCAATTGGATTTAGTATTTGATACCAGAACAATAAGCGACTAAGACAATTTTGTAACTTACCTATAAATATGATGTAAAAATTGAATTAAATAACTAAAATAAATGTATAGCTTATTACTACTTAAAAAGACCAAAGACTTGATACATCCATGAATGGAGTGATTAGGATGATCTACTTCTTTCCCATTGAATGGAGATGAGCATCGATTTGAAAATCTGCTAGATGAAAAATAACAAATATAGACTGGTTAACTATAAGTTTTAAATCTGCAAATAAAATTACTGGGTATTGTGGATGAATCAGGAAAATACAAATCCAACTTCTATGTGAACGGTAGAGGATGAAACGGATGATGAGAACACTAGCCAACAGAGTAGTTCTCTATTATGAGGAGTAATAGATGCGTATATAGCCAAATCCGATTGAGATTTATAAGATTCCCTCCCTGATTTATTCTTCAAGCAAAACCAAAATAAATAAACACGAGGAGAATCTATCTCGTAAGACCAATCCTTTAACGGGTTGTCAGGAGCCCTGGTTAGAATGCACCAAAACTAAGTACTAAGATAACAAAATAAAATGATCAAAATAGTAGAAAACAAGCAATGCTGAAAGGGAAGGAACGAGGCTTCTTACTTGAAGCCAAGCCCACTAGCCTTGCACCCGGAGTCAGAGCCCGAATCAGACCACTAATCCTATGATTTCACCTTCTCCGTCTCGAAGGAAATTCTCTGGATTAACTTGAACTTGAAATTAAGATTTAGAATGGAGGAGGTTTCTTAGACTAGAATTATCTAACGTTGCAAGGATCATGGTGATGGCCTAAGTATGAGGTTAGGTGTAGGGTTTGGTTCTCTAGAAATTCTCTCAAAATTTATCCAGAAATTCAGCCAAAATCCTCTAGGGCTCTTGAAATGAGTCTATGCCTGGAAAATTTGGGCCGTCCCTGTCTCAGCAATGTGGTATGTGACGCTAGGTCGCGTTTCGTCTTATTTTCTGCAGCCGCCTGACACTTGCCTTGTATGAGAGATTTATGTCCAACTTTCCATGTGATTTGTGTCCAGGATAGTTAACTCTAACTTTCTTCCCTTTTGGGCTGAGAACCTACTATTTTTTGAGGTGAGTTGGAGATTATGAGATATTTCCAAGATATTTCGTAAGTTCCGTGTTCATGGTCCTAGAAATATGACCAATTCAGAGGGGATGTCTACAAAATGTTTTAGTGGAACAATGAACTGAGAAAAGGAATGGATTCCAAGACTACACCATTGGCAATACCTTGCTTCATGGTATGGTCTTGGAATCCATGCAGGTCGTTGATGTCTAATGACGGTTGCAGCCATACCTTGATGTATCATAGTGCCACTAAAACTGAGTAAAATTTTGAGAACGTCCTTGTTTTTTATGTGATATAATTATCTAACAAAAACTATTTTATATATGTTCTATCACTGTATCGTGAATCTTCGTTATAAAGTAAATTGAAAAAGAACATCTTGGACGGCATAGCAAGGAGAGCCATTTTTTGACATGAATGTAGAGAGTAGTTTGATGAATGTATAACTTTTGCATCGCCTTTGGTGAATTCTACTTCCAATGATGCATGGAAGCCACTGGCCTCTAAGATGCAGTAGCCAGTTTTAAAACCAACCTAAATTTGGGTTTGAGAATAAATATCAAAGAAGGGTACAAACTTTGAAGTCATTTGGAGAATGTAGAAAGAATGACTTTGACTTAATGATTTTAGCGAATGCTTAGTTGGACTCTGAACACTGAAATAGTGTAGAAAAGTGCATTACGCAGGGCCTAGGCAGCCAGGGGTTTTGAATTGAACTTTGAGAAATTTATTGTGGCATTTCCAAAGGTGAGACATTATTTGAAATGTAGGAGTGGCTGTAAAAATCTTACATAACTTACATTAATGTCGTCCTTGTAAGTGATTATGTGCTTTTTTAGTACGCCAAATCATTGTTATCAGATTCATCTTGAAGGGCTCTTCATTTCGGCTGGAAAAGAGAATGCTTTGGCTCTCTAGAGTATATGGGAAAACCAAAAACCATTGGGTATGCCTATAAAAAAAAAATAATAATAAAAAACTATGTGATGCTAGGCTTTTTTTAAAGACTTTTAATATATAACGTATGGTTTACAAAATTTTGAATATTACGGAGGTGTTTTTATCTTTTTCAATCATTTATGGTTATATTCTTTTTATGTTTATTTTTATTTTTATTTTTTTAATTCTTTCCAATATATTCAAACTAACAAGAAGTGTTTTGCTTCATTTCGGTTTAGGGCCTAAATTGAAGACTTCAGCTGAATTGACCGAGGCAAAGAGAATCTGATAATTTGATTGCAACTCAGAAAACCCTTTTATTTTTTTCTTTTTGTGAGAGAAAGAAGTGAAAAAAAGTTAACATTTCTCAAAAAAAAAAAAAAAAGGAAAGTGAAAAAAAAAAAAAAACTTTGCCATATTAGCATTCCGAACATATTTAGGATACGGTCTATCGCAAATTGCTTTAATCTATTGTTGAGGGCCATTATCATGATGGAATTAAGTATTAGAATTTGTATATTGAAGATAAGTAGCAAAGCTCATTGCCTCTAAGTCATTTCTGTATTATGGAAATGCATTGGAAGGAGGAAATTGATCTGGTCAGCTGTTGTCCCAATACTATGATGAAAATGGGAAGGCAACAATTTCACTTAGGTACTCACACAAACACATAGATACCTTCCTTCATTGGTAGTGAACTATGTTAACATACTGCAATGTTTTAGATGTAAAGTACCGCATCCCTCTATTGGGAGTCGCTCTTTTGAGCGGTTACTAGATATTTCCTAAGTCTATATTAGCCCTTGCTTATCATGCTGTCTCTCAGCATAATCTATAGATTATGGTTGCTGCAAGTGGCTTCTGCTTAGTTTGTTCCAGGATTTTATGTTGTTAACACTTGCTTAACTATTAATTTGACTAAATCTAGCTTGTGAGATCTTGCCATTTTTTAACTTTAATCAATATGATTATTTGGGTTTAACATGTGTTTTAGAAAGAACTTGCTGCATGAAGAGTTGTTTCATTTCTACTTTGCATGGTATTTGAGGTTAGAACACTTGATTTACACAGTTATATTGGAAGCTTTTACATGGTGAGTTCTCGTTATTTAGGTTATAATTCCAGCTCCATATTGGGTTAGTTACCCAGAAATAGCAAGGTTGGCTGATGCAAATCCTGTGATAATTCCTACTTTTATTGAGGACAACTTTCTCCTAAACCCGGATGTTCTAGCTTCCAAAATCAATGAAAAATCAAGGTTGCTGATTCTCTCCACCCCATCAAATCCTACTGGGTCAGTCTATCCCAAGAAGTTGCTCGAACAAATCGCAGAGTTGGTAGCAAAGCACCCTAGACTTATGGTAAGCTTTTGAGAAGGAGAGATTGTGCCGTAAGTTCAAATGTGTAAGTTTAGCCATTTCCTTTTGTAATCTGGTTTGTGCATAGTTTCTGATTCTAATGAGATTTGCAAGTGAAAAGTTCTGAAGTTAATGTGTTTTTTAGGTTTTATGTGATGAGATATATGAGCACATTATTTATCAGCCGGCAGAACACACAAGTTTTGCTTCTTTGCCTGGCATGTGGGAGAGAACCTTAACTGTAAATGGGTTCTCCAAGGTAATTGCAATCATCATTTTCCATGTGTTTGCTCTCGTGTGTTCCAATGGTCAATCTAGTGTCAATATTTGAGACAAGCAAAAAGGCATTTTGAATGAAATTTGCTCTGAAGTTTCATAAATAGGGGATATATTCGAAATGAACAGCTTTTGAACATTCATTTCTGTAGGCCTTTGCCATGACTGGTTGGCGGCTTGGCTACCTTGCTGCCCCAAAACACTTTATCACCGCTTGTAACAAGATTCAGAGCCAGGTAGAAGCTTTCCCCTTTTTTGTTTACTTTTCTTATTTTAATAATGTAACCTATAATCCCATGAACCATGTAAAAACACAGCTCTTTCAGTCATCACCATAGGGTGAAATGATGGATCGCGAGTGGGATCCACCACTACAGGACACGTCCCCAAAAAGGTGTCCCATCCTCTCTCTATGACCATCCATCATTTCATTTGAACGTGATGACTCAAGTAGACCATGTTGTTTTGTTTAGTAGATTAGTGGGGGAAGGGTTCCGCTATCCATAGTAGGAATGGAACTCAAGATCTCATATTGTGGCATCTACCACCTTGACCACCACCTATGCCTTGTGTCCATGGTGTTTTATTGTCATTGGCTATGGTTTGCCATTCTTTGAAAGCACATTTCATGGCTGAAGCTCATTGGGTAGTTATTTGGGTTCCTTCAGGCTACATCAGGGGCAAGCAGCATCTCCCAGAAAGCGGGTCTTGCGGCTTTGGGGCTGGGTTATGCTGGAGGCGAAGCAGTTTCCACTATGGTTGCAGCATTCAAAGAGCGACGGGATTTCCTAGTCCAAAGATTCAAGGCTATTGATGGTGTTAAGGTTTCCGAACCACAGGTATGAGCTGATAGTAACCATCATTTTATTGTTCTCCCTCTCTCTCTTTCTCTCTCACTCACTCACACACACACATACACACTGCTGTGATCTGATTTTTTGTACATGGTTGCAAGCATTCAACAGGGAGGGAGATCTCTCTCTCGCTCTCTCTCTCTCTCTCTAGGCAGTTGTATTTTTCTGCCTTTTCATACATCTTATAAACATGGTGGGGATATATGCGAAATTTCTGTCAAGTTTGAGAATGAGCATTTGTATCTTATGTCATGAGGTGGTCTCTCTCATTGTAGTTTCATCAGCAAATACCTTGAATTATTCTTTTGCACTTGTAGGGGGCTTTCTACTTGTTTCTGGATTTCAGCTCCTATTATGGATCATACGTCGAAGGTTTTGGCTTGATCAAGGACTCCGATTCCCTTTGCCGGTTTCTTTTGGATAAGGCTCAGGTAAGCATCAAATGAGTAACTTTTTAACTTTTTGAAATTAAATTTCTTTTTCAATATATGCTTTCAAGAGTCTATCTTCCCTACTTTCTCACTCATCAATTGACAATTTTTTGAATATTTTAGGACTAAAAATCTTGGTATGAATATGTAGGTTGCCCTAGTTCCAGGAGATGCATTTGGTGATGACAGCTGCGTGCGCATCTCGTATGCAGCTTCACTCACCACACTGCAAGCAGCCATGGACAAGATCGAGAAAGCTTTGCCTCTCATCAAGCCCGCTGTTGCAGTTTGATCTTAGGTCCTATGTGTATTTTAACGTGATGATTTATGAGTGATTTATGATTTATGGAAAATTGAATGTTGCCTCAATCCAATGAAAGATTGTTGGAACAAATAATCTTTTCTGTACTCGTACATAAACGAGTACACTGAAAGTTAGATCCCACCATGACTGTGTACTTAAACCAGCTAGAAATAAAATCAGCAAGAATACGAATTACAATATGAAGAATAAAACACAATCACACGAACATAAATATTTATGTAGTTGACCGTAAAGAGGTTACATCTATGAGGGTGCAAATTGAAATTTACTAAATTTCAATGAGAGTTACAGCACAGATTTTGAAACACAATATTACCTCTATAAAACTTGACTAAACCTAGTCGTGCAACCATTTAAACCCTTCTCCTAACCGACGTCACTTTTCTGATCTCTTATGTCTATTATATCGTTAAACCGTTATCTAGAAAGAGAAACTTGAGAGCATCCACCATCTAGAAAGAGAAACTTGAGAGCATCAGAGACTTTTTTTTACTTACAGGGGAGACAGCACAAAATCTCCCTAAAACCATATCCACAAGAAACCATTTACTAACAGGGGAGACTATACAAAATCTCCATAAAACCATATCCACAAGAAACCAATCTCTTGTTATATAAGACACACCATCACAACGTTTTTTATCATAAACAATTCACATCTTTCTATATGAATGCGGCGCCTCTAATATGGAGGAAACCCCTACCTCTCTCTCTCTAAAGGAAGCCACTTTTTCCATGTGACGACCCATGTGGCCACCTTTTCCTCTCTCATTGCATGTATATAAGGTTAGAAATCCTATACCAAATGGAATAAAAAACTTCCCATGGATGTCACATGTATCTTCTCAAACTTAAGATGGACTCCTAATTTACTTCTATTTTTATTATCCAAATTAACTCTTAGAATTTTATTGGGTCGTGATTTTGCCTATCAACTTCTCTAATACTAAAAGAAATTTATTTTATTTATATTTTGGCTCTTCCCTTATATTGAGGATCCAATATTGATTTGCTATTGATTAAGTTAAGAGAAATTATCAAAAATATATTTTAATTTTTTACTAATTAAACAAAAAAAATCATACATAGTTGTATAATTTCCCAACCGTGAAGGCTAAACTTCATCCATACTTTTTTTAAAAAATAAATTATAATTAAAGATGAAAATATATTTTAAGGCTATCACAAAGATTTTCAATATTGAAACCACATTTCTCAACACTATTTAAAGGTGCACTTTACTTTGATTGTTTAGAGCTTCAATACAAACCACACCCTATAATTATAGCACTTTAAGTGACGTAGAACATGTTAAGTTCATCACAGTACCTTAAGTAAATGTGATACATTGTCTTCACAGTCTAAACTCATACTTTTACAATAGTTGTATTACCGTGAAGGCAATGCATCGCAGTTACTTAAGATACCGTGATGAACTTAACATGTTTTACGGCACTTAAACTTCCATAATTATAGAGTATGATTTATATAGAACCGCTCTAAACAATCAAAGTAAAGCGCACCTGCAAATAGTATTGAGAAATGTGATTTCAATATTGGAAATCTTTGTGATAGTCTTAAAATATATTTTCATTTTTAATTATAAAATTTAAAGCTTTAAAAATAGTAAAAACTTGAAAATTTTGAAAATTGAGAGTCCAAAAATACATTACAAGGCACAATTTCCCAATCTTGAAATTCTTTTTTTTTTTTTGTGATGTCTATATATCTTGATGCAGAGATGATCAATTTGAAGATATTTGAGCATCAAAACAACTTCAACTAGTAAAATATTTGAGGTGGGCTCTAATTTGATTGTTTAGATCCTCAGCTCTATAAAAACTTTTTCCTTTTTCTAATTTGAGAAAAGTTAAGGTATATTTCTTATAATTTTCCTTAAATTAAATTAAATGGAGTTTGATACTCCGTGACAAGATCAGAAATTCGGATTAAAAATGTATGATGAAACATTGAAATTCGAAAATATTTGATGCCAGCAATAGTGTATCACATGGTATCGCCCTACTATTTCATCAAGAAATTTAATGGCCAAGTAGTTTTCAAATTTAACCGTTAAAAAAAAAAAAAGTTTTCAAATTTTCATTGGCTATCGTCCTTCTCTTCATCTTCCTTTCTCATGAAATAGAGGAGTTCATGTATTCAACAAACTTAGTGAAGATCCAAGAATTTAGGAGAGCTCGAAAATGGATTGAGAGAGAGAAGGAGAGGGAGAGGGAGAGGGAGAGGCAGAGGGAGAGGAAGTGCTTGAAATTGTGGGAGAGAGAGAGAGAGAGATGCATTGCACAGTATGATGACATTTATCCTAAGAAATCAGAAATCGATGTATCTTATTCATTTGAAAGTTGCAACAACAAACATTATATCAGTAGCGAGTGTTGTCAAAGACCCAGGGCTCACGCAGGAAAAGCTCACGGCCATTCATGGCAACTCTCCCTGCCTCAATGTCTTCTGCTCGTTTTCTAGCTTCCTCTGCTTGCTTAGCCGCTTCATCCGCGTCCTGCCAACAAACATAAACCGCTTCCACAATCTTAAGTCATGACATTACAGATCAAAAAACCAGAATACAATGATCAATTTAGAGAGAGAGAGAGAGAGTATTAGGGCAAATGACTCAAATTCCCTCGAAATGTGCAAATATGAGGAATACTATCCTGTGGTATACGTCCAACATGATCGATGAGTTATATTGCTTGCAGAATAAATAGCAGCAATAATCAAATGATTTCTCCTCTCAAAACTGAGGATTTTTAAATAAATCAACAAGACCTAATAAGTTCTGTTCATTTCTCTGTGCAAATGATCTAAATGCAATGAATTGCAAGATACCCAATAAATAAGCACCAAATTCGAGAGAAATTTGAATCCAGGAGAATCAAGATCAAGTTTTGTTGGACGGGTCCCCAAATTTTTAAAGAGATTTGTTCCTGGCTTTGAATCTAGGGCTAAAGAAAATAATGCAAAAATAAAAAGAAAAGAGTGAGAAAAAGAAGGATAAAAACCTTTTGGCGTTTCCAAGAGAGGAATTGTGCATGAGTTATAGGGTTTGCTCTGCTACCGCCCCCTGCTTGCTGCTGCTGCTCCTGCTCCTGCTCCTGCTCCTGCTCCTCACCCATCTCTCTTTCTCTCTCTACAATCTCTTTCACTTTCTCTCTCTAGCTCCTTCGCACTGATGCTTGTGTAAATCTCTAGGGAATGGGGAGGAGAACCCCAATTACACACGTGAGGCGCGTCTATTATTTCCAATAAAACTCATATTTTGTTCCGTACGAATTGTGGAACTAAGAGCTTATAACCGTCCAATTTATTGCTTGTGACTGCAACTAACGTTTGCGGTTTATTATTCTAAAAATGATTATTTTTAAAAAAAAAATTTAAATTTGAATTTTACTTGAAATATTAACTGTCAAATGTGAAATCTAATAGATTAAAATGTGTTACAATATTTAAAAAGTGATATTTTTAAATTTTATGCCAAATCATTAACACATTGATTATTTAATATTGACACGGTACAAGAACTACACCCATTATCTATACAGTTTTTTGTCCCCTTCGCCATTTTTTGTTATTTTTTTATATCAAGACACATTGGGCCCAATTGATGCAACAGCTTTTGGTTTTCAAGCAATGAGCTAAAACCCGAATCGAGTGGATCACTCACCACCTGTGACAGAAGGGAGAATTGAATGGATATTCAAAATCAATTAGATAAACTAAATATAATATTTTGAACTTTGAAAAACTATTACAAGTGAAAAAATAAAATAGGTAGAAACGTGCTTTAATAGAATAACTTGGTGCGTAAACTAATTGATCCCATTCTCCAATAAGGGGAGTCACTTTGAACCAAGCCGATTTTTTATTATGAGCAAGAATATGTTAAGATACCCATCGATTTCAAGCTGAACTGGCAATTCCGGACCAGAGCAATTTTCATATCATTTGTTTCAAGTAATATCCTTACGATGACACAAATTACATAGGGTGAGAATGGGTCGGATTGGATCTGGATCCAACCAGATCTGGATCCGGATCCAAATAAGATACATCGGATTCGGTTAGGATCCAAATCCTATCCCAGATATTTGGATCCAGATCCAAATCCAAATAATTTACATCGGATCCGGATCTAGATCAGGATCAGGATTATATATATAGTATTTTAAAAAATTCATATATATAAAATAAAAATTTATTATTTAAAAACCCAAATTGGATTCCGATTTGGATCCAGATCGGATTCACCTGCAACCGGCTCCAATCCAGATTGTTTTTTGACCTTTTTGGGTCTAGATCTGGATTTTAGATCCAAATTTTTGGTCCATAGTTCGAAATCCAAATTTCAGATCCGGATCAAGTCAAATCTCACCCCTAAAATCAATGATCAGATGCACCGCTAAAATTAATGATCAGATGCATCGTAGAAATTGTAAAGTTATCGTAGAAATTGTAAAGTTTCACTTCAATATTAGATAACTCATTTCAGAACCAGAAACCCCTGTGATTCCCTTCAATCTTATTTTTGCCGCTGGCTGATTGTGGTATTTAGAGCTCCAGCGATTGCGAACTACCTGGTATATAAATACTTGAAATGAACTGGCCACACAATGTGTTTAGGATAGACTAATTTTTTGTTTTAAAATTCATTGGTATTCATCATCATCGTCAACGCTTTTTTCTAATGAATTGGGAACTGCTTAAAATTCATTAATATTCCATATCCGTAATCGTCAAGATAGAGTGGTTGATTTGCAAATTTTCCAGCTCTGCAACTACATTTTTAGGTATGAATTGAGGTGCAACTTTAAAAAGAAACCCCGATGAAATGCTTTCCCTAAAGGGTTAAAGATCAAAGAGCGTATAGCTCGGGCTCGCAATGGGAGCCCTGAAAAGCTAAAGCCTATACAACAAATCTTGGCCAGGGGGCTGGGCCAGACTGGGCCTAAGCCAAGGGCTATGACCAGCCCAACCTTTTTTTTTCCCTTTCAATTTTTGTATTCTTCTTTTAAATTTCCACTAGGTCCTACCCGGCCCGACCCCAGCCATGTTTGACCCACGCAAGGGCTGCTTAAGCGTGGTCATGGTTAGGGCCAGGCATCTAGGGAAACAGGTCAGGCCCTGGTCAGCCCTAGCCCAGTCCCTTGGAAACCCTATATAATGTTGCTTTTCCTGATCAAGTTCCATAAGCCCAGCATTACGTTTGAATCCAACTTAACCACCCCTAGGCCCTATTTCAATTTCTTTAAGTTATTAATTTGTGTTTGTCACATTGCTTGTCTACAAATATTGAACAATTTTATGAAAATATATTATAGAATTTGAATAATTTTAGTTCACATGGAAAAAAATTTCCAAAAAAGTAAACGTATGGATACATGTGATTTAAGTATGCGGCCTGTTTGTGAGAGGTGATGCAAGGACGCAGCCACAATGCGTGAATATGTTCAAATGCGGTCTCCTTCAAAAATCTATTTTAAAGGTTGCTTTTGAGTTCAAATTTTTACAGGGTGATGATCGCAATCACTACTGTTTTAACTTCGACAAAATATGATTTTTAAAACTTAAAAATCAAATATTATAAAAAAAAAAATTAGACCATTTATCGCCATTCATTTCAATTCATTGTTGATCATTATATCTAGTGAAAATATCTCCATATCCCATATTTTTAAGTTTTATTTCTGGATAAACCCAATGTTTCAAAAAATATCTTCTAAACCCCTGACCACCTTAAACTTATTTTTTAACCTTAATGGATGTGAGTAAGACATGCTATTTTTAAACCCAATTATTTCTTTGTCTCTACTTATATATCCCAAATTTCTCTATTTCTCTCTCATCCTGCATTTCTGACTCTCTCTCTCTCCTCCCGTATTTCTCCAAACACATATCTCTCCCGGTAACCTCTCACCTTCATGAAGCCCTTCTCTATCTTTAGAAGTTTGGGATGATGACTTTTAAAAAGGCATGTCTTTTTAGATTTATTTGGCAAAAAAAAAGAGGTTTAAATTAGCTCAGAGGGTTAGAAGAAATAAAATCTACAATTTTTATGCCCCAATATATCTTTTAAGACTTTGGATCTGTTGTGAAATGAAACTTAAAAATAGAGAGTATGGAGATATTTTTCCTTATATCTATTCTATTTTTTGTGGTGCAAAAAACATGAATAGAAAGCACAAATACAGCTATGGCGACTTAAACAAGTATTCCAAATCTTAAATCAATCTCAAAGATGGATTTTTAACAAACGATTGTGTTAGAATAAGACCTCGTTCAAACTTTTCCCTTTAATCAATACTAATTCTATATAAAAAAATGATTAATTATCCAAAACGTACTAGTCCTTGAGGGATTAAGCACAGAAAGCACACAAGATTTATTTATTGACAGTCCCAACATGTATTGAAATACAAGTGGTAAGTCTTCAGGGTTGCCCCCAAGTTCATTTAGCATATAATGGGCTGCTTAAACCCCGAACATGTTAGTAAGGCTTCACCAACTGTAAAGAAAATCCATTCTTCTCCCACTTTGTCCACAAATTTGCTGAGTTTAAACTTGTGAATGACTTGCCACCCGGGATTGGCAAGTGCAAGCTGCAAGACATTTGCAAACATACTTACTCAGACAATAATCTTTTCGGATCAAGCAATAAATGTCATATACTTGGTCATATTATCGTAGTTACATGTCAGGCTCAAATCATGAGTTAGGTGATCTGATAGTATTTATAATCTTACAACGATGTTTGATCATGTTTGAAAACCATGTTTGATCCAAATTTTAAAATATACACTATTTTCATTCTAATGAGCAGACACAAAAAAAGAAAATTGAAATCACAACCTAGAAAGTAGTTTTTTAGCCCAATTAACATAGGCCGTTTATTTTAGTGAGATGCTTAAATCTAGGCCTTAGAAAGATTTTTTCATTTGGCTTTATTATTATTAGATGAACAATGTTAAAAAAAAAAAAAAAATTTTGAGTTTACAAAGGCTAAGACCTTGAAAATCACAAAATGAATGGTCTATATTCGTTTTTGGAGGGGACTCCTTTTGACCATATCTAG